GGAATGTTCTGTGGGCTGATGGTAGAGGAGCAATGGTTCACGACATTATTGCAAGGCTTCATGGAGGAATGCATCCCAAGAAGTCCATGAAATCTGTCAGGCAACCGGTCTGGTTTGCGAGTAAAATCAAAGCACTCATCAGGGAAAAGAAGCAGAAATGGGATATGTACAGTATAAGCGCACGGGAGATAGAATGGACTGAGAAATATAAGAAATGAATAACAGGCCATTGTTCAAAAATGGAGAGCCCCTAAAACTTGGTCTTTGTCCCAATTTTATCCGTTCATTCTTGCAGCATGTAGGTATATTTTTCCCTTTTCCAAAAAAAAAAAACTTACTTTACCATTCAAAATTCTATTTCACAAAAAATGAAAAATATCAGGTCAACTTTTCTTTCTGCTCCAACTTGCCTGAACTACAACTTATTTGAACAAATGATGGATCACTGAAAAGCCCTTTTCGAGAGCTATTAAGCAGTACCATATAAGACAGGTTTTGCTCAATGGTAACCACAAGAGCAGTCTCATAAGATATGATCCTTATAATGATCATACGCCATGAAAGGGTTAAAGGAATAGATCATGTCAAATGTGGTGGATTTCTTCCAGTTTGATGGCAGCAAGAGAACGAGAGGTAATAAACTTGAGCTGTGTAAAACTGCTGGTGCGGCTCAGATTGAGACAGGACTTTACTGAAAGAGTAGTGAACACATGGAATGCATTAAGACGACAATGTAGTGGCTGCCCCTTCCGTGACTATTTTTTAAGAAACTAGATGCATTTATGGACAAGCAAGAAGGGGGGCAATGTCGACTCAAGGGACTAGGCAGTAAGCAACTAGGATATGCTAAAAAAAAAAAAAATTAATAAAAAAAAATACAAAAATATGTAGCTTTATGAGGAGTAGGCCTACCCTAAAATTAAGGAACACTTGACGTCGACACGTGGTGTCCAAATGGGCGTTATTGCCTCTTGATACCACTATACAACCTTGAAAGAGCTCTTTTTCCCCTGTAGGAGTCTATGTATTTCTCAAGGGACCATTAACTAAAGGAGGTTTCAGCATTCGTACCTAAGCACTTGTGGATTCCAGTAGACTATTGTGCCCTCAATTCTCTGAAGTTAGCTTGTAACCCATCCTACACTGTTAAATTCATAAGATTGCATGGGTTTTCCTGACACAACTTAGAATTACAGGGTGGGCAAAAAAAAAAAGCTTTCAACAATGTGCTACGCTTCACTCACTGCATATATTTTACTGAATTTTGGTGCATTTGAATAAGGTTTAAAAAGCTGTAAATACATTTCAAATACCTTTAACAGTGTTAGAAAATTGGAGTTTATGAACAAACAAAAACAGCATTGCTGCACACTCCAACAAAGACTGCATATGACCTACAGACACTGCCTGCTGTCCATCCCCACTTCTACAAAAATTCACAGTTTTTGTCTGCTGTTCATATGAGTTTCCAAATTTCTGAAACTGTTGAAGATATTTGAAGTATAAGTACATCACTTTAAAGCTCAGTCATTCCTCTAGGAAATTACACAAAACAGCATTAAAATATTAGCGAGTGCAGCATGGTGTATTGTTGAAAACTGTTTTTTTTGGCCCACCCTGGTGGTACAGGATTCATATTGTTTAACCCCTTCAGTGAAAATTTTTGTGCAATATTTCAGCTATTGAGCTATACATATAATAAACTATGAGTGATGACAATTGACGATGGTTATTGTATATTGTCCAGCTTTTGAATGATAAGTATGAAAAATATTAGATACTAGATTAGATATTAGATAGTTTTATAATTACAGCAATTTTAGTTTGACATTAGTAATGATACCAGGACATACCTTGTCCCAATGAAAGGGTTAAAGAAAGAAAGCTGTAGGATTTATGGGGTTCAAGATGAATTTTCAAAACGTAAAAATACTCAGGGAAGAGAACTTTGACATGAAAAGACAAGGAACTAATATAAAATACTTCATTGAACACAACCACAGCCTTTCCCGTGATCCATGGATGCCTTCCTGCTCCATTATTATGCATTGCCATAAGAAAATGTCTTTGCACTTCAAAACAATCAACTTAGAATGCACAATCTCAACATATTTGAAAAACATGAAGGGTGTGATGGAATATTGACTATGGCATCTTGAGTTCCTGTAACACCATCAGCCCCACACCATCAGCCCCTGGAAATTTTAACAACTGTGGGAGTTATTAAGTATAGCTGTAAGAGCCATTTAAGAGCAAAATTACTTCCCCAATACCATAACAAAGATATGCGAAAAGGACCTGAGGTTATTAAAATTTTAATGAAAAATAATTCAATATGATCCAATGCAACTACAAGGAACTCTCATTTTAAATAATTTCACAGGCACACATATACACACACATATATATATATAAATATGACCAAGGACAGATGAAAATTGAAGGGATTAAGAGGATGAAGACACAGCAAGTTTCTTGAGATGCTCCATGAAAACTTGGAGGCTAACATCATCAGTGAGAACTGGGGCTCCTCCATCCTGATATACAGAAGAAAAAGAATTCAATCAATCATCATCTTCATATCTCATGTCTTACCAGTAGACTAGCTGACTTCAAGAGGATTCTAGGACTATAATTTGCCTACTTCAATTTTCTATGCTGCTGTTAACAGGGTGTCTTCCTATTCAGCCATTAGACCTGGTGTGCTGAAGTCAAAAGCACCATGAATCAAGTGGTTTTTTTGATGAGCCATCAGAAGCAAGGATTGTCAGGTCCCTTTCTGTCTCAATCTTCCTGGGTTAACTTACTTCTATAACTATCCCATGATAAAAGTTGGTCTGTAGAAGCATAGAAATGGTAGAAGTGAAGGGTGGATTGATAAACCAACCACCCCACACCTGGTCAGACATATTAACCATGAGCAGCTCATCAATTACAGAAGCCACCTTTTGCCAAAAAATGCATGTTATTGCAAGAAGCAGGAGTACAGTGCTTCCACTTCAAAATCTTGTGGAAGCACTTTTCCTACTTACTTTCATCATTGCTCCTTTATTGTTTAAGTACTTCAAGGATAAGAACTGCATTGGTGCTTAATTTTACTTGAAGCAAATAAGTAATTTAGCAAACGAACTCATAATCTACACAATCTCTATCAATTCCTGCCCATACGCATTTGAATGAAAGAAAGATTGCGTGTGGCTAATTTGCCAGCTTCCAACTTGCAATGTGCTGATGAAAAAATAGGCTATCAGTGCAAGGGGCCCAAGACCCAAGAAGATGCTTTTGCTCTGAAATCTGAACGAACCCTCCCTCCCATCTAAGCCTCACCCCCTGTAAGCTCATCTAAGAGATCATATCTTCATATTTCCTATTAGAAATGTTAAATTATATTTGCATATGGCATTTCAATTTTTTCTCAGCATTCAAAGTTTATATTTAAATTCTCAACCATTAATATTTTTAACAAGCTCTGCATGCTGCAGTGCACCTTTCTTTAGGCCCGCAAGCAGCTCAGTCAGTATGCAATTTTAAAAATCCACTTGATAAAGACCAGGGGTATGTTTTTAAGTTCTGCCTTGGCATCGTGCTGAGAGCATGATGCCAAGTCAGAACTTAAAAACATACTCCCATACTACACTGTGTTGGCAGCTATCAATATGACAAGAATATTCTTCATGATACTCCCTATATAAAATAATGGAGGTTTCTCGAGTAACCTACCACAGAAATGTTACTGGAGTTAGAATGTAGGAACAGTAAAATGTGACAGGCCCTAAATGGGCAATGAAGACCCATGACTGCCTAAAGTGATTGGTGAGGTTACAAGACAGTAAATTGCAACATAATAGAATACATCCCATCACCCAACCACCACCACCACCACCACCATCAAATTGTTACAGCAAAATACAAACTCCCATTCCTGAGAATGTTCAGAGCACAGTTTAAAAAAAAATTTGGTTTAGTTGGATAGACCCCAAAAAGTACATGACTGAGCACCATTGTCTTTGGATGCTCGAGAGAGAGGGAGAGGAAGCATGATAAATCATGTGAAGCCATGAAATGAAACAAATTGTAAGCATGTGAAGTGCAAGCAAGATAGAGACAGAGAATGCAGTTTGGGGTGGGGTGGAGGAACTGAGGGAATGACAGGTGTACGTTACCGTTCCGACTCCATATGCCTCCCCAATCACTGACTGGAATGTCAACAAAAAAGGAAGAAAAACACAGCATAAAAGTGTAAGAAAAAAAAAACTCACATCCATATATCCTCAAAAATGAATCTCAACAGGAGTCCCAAAAAACCAGATTCAAAACTTCTGTGACTGATGCAAGTTATTTCCAGAATACTTTCCCCAATAAAAATGTCAATTTGTATGCAACCTCCAACTCTGCTAAAATTTCCTAAACTTCCTTTACAAGTGACTGATGATTTTCCCCCACCACCTTTCTTCTTTTTTTTAACCCCTTCACCGGCAGGTTTTCTAACTTGCTACTAGAGAAGCCCAAGAATTTATCGGGCATGCCGGAGAAGGGATTAATCACATCACCACATTCCTGTTTACCTAGCATTTCCATGGTTCATATGTGGGAACATGGAAAGTTCTACATGTGTGAAAGGAGGAAAAAAAAGTTATTGATTTGAATATCACTGAATTCCTGGGGACAACATGAGCCTTAATACACATTTTGCTGATAACTTGTTGAAATAAAAAGTCACATTGACTTGACAATGTCAACAACACTATCAAAGTCTCCCACACAAAACCTACATGTCCTACCCTATCATATCAGGGTGTCACTTGCCCCATGAAAGGATAGGACATACCAGGTTTTGATTAAAATTCACTAATTCACTATTATGGAGTCCATGAAGGGACCCACAACAGAAAGTGACATGGATTGCTCACCAATACTGGCAAAATCCTTATGGGATGGAGACATGCAGTATACAGGGTGGGCCATAAATAATCATACCACATTTACATGTTTCTACTTCTGCATGCCCAAGATAAGCAAAGAAAAAAAGATGGTATCTATATGTGCCAGCCAATGTGGTCAATCTCCTTCTCTGACTCCTTTTCTGAGTCACTAGGCTTGATGCTCAAAAACTTGTCTTGCAGACCATGTAGCAGTAATTAATAACTAACATAAATGGCTCCATTATAATTGTGACTGTAATTCAAAATATTATTGTAAGTGGAGTCTGCTGGAAGAAGGTGTCCACAAACAGAAAATGGCAACGTGAATCACTCAAGGCTGGGGCTGGTGCTGAAGCAGAAGTGGAACCATGTCCATCCATAGTAATTGACCAGCAGACTTGAAGATTGCAAGTTGCCATCAAGAAGAATGGGGATTCTTTGAAAATATTTAGAGAGTAGTTATAGTAAGTCATTGTGTCTTGTTAAAATTCAGTGGATTCTATGAGAAATTATTAGTAGATAATGAAATCCAAGAATTAGGTTTGACATGAATATTTATGGCCCAACCTGCACAGGGGACACTTCCCAGTCAACATTTTTTAATTTTGGACATTGGTGCAAAAGCTTGAATTGAGCTGCAGTACATCTTGCAGTGTTTCACAAGGGTAAGATAACATATATGAAACAGCCTGTTCCAGATGAAGCAATTCTGGAAAAATTCCAATAGTGCTTCATGAAGAGCTGATAAATTGGACTTGATAGATTTCCATGGTTGCACAGTCCCAATGCACAGGGCAGTTAACAAGCAAGAAGAGAGCTTGAAAAGTCAAGGGGAATTGACTGCCCCTTTCATATGGAGCAAATGACAAGCAATTAAACAATAGCTCATCACTGGAAGATCACTCTATAAAATTGGTATTTCTTACTCTACCTTGCTCTCATCATGAAAAAAATAGCCTCATCTGAAACTGGCTTTACTCAAGTGTGCAACTGGACACTTGTTCCATGCATGGAAAAGATTATGTAAAAGAGATGTCGCAGGACTCACCTGTCCATAGGCATACATGTTGTTGTGTGTCTGAGACGGGTTCACCTTTGACAGAAGGAACCGAGCCTGTTTGGGACAGAAGTAAGAAAAACAGCCTCAAATTTCCCCAATGAAAATGCACTAAATAATTCAAGGATCAAATTTTCCTGAGTCTCCCAGGTCTATCAGCACATCATTCAAACTTCCTGGACCATAAATTACATAAATTATGCTTTCAGACTTCTCCCCAACAGACCAATATATCAGATATTGAAAGTACAGGGTCTGCCAAAAGTCATGATGGGATTTTCAACTTAAATAAATAAAAATCACAATTACACAATTGAAAATTGTTTGCCAAATAAAGAGTACATCTGGGAGATATTATATTCTATGTTAGTTTTTTTTAATATAATATCTTTTAAATACTTTCCACAGTTAGCCGCACATAGACGTGCTCAAAGAACTGCACTTTCCATGGCAGAAGCCAAAGTGTTCCGATTAATGCTGTTTATCTCCATGCGTATCTTTTTCTTTACTTCATGTAGTGTTCTGGGCTTTGTAAGGCAAACTCTTTCCTTTAAGTAGCCCCACAGGAAGAAGTCTGGGGCTGATAAATCCGGAGACCTGGGAGGCCAAGGAATGTCTTCAAATGCAAAGAGATAAATAGCATTAATAGGGACACTTCGGCTTTGTCATGGAAAGTGCAGTTCTTCGAGCAAGTAAATATGTGGCTAACTGTGGAAAGCATTTTAAATATGTTATATTCAAAAACTAACAAGCAATATAATATCTCCCAGTTGTACCTATTAATTGGCAATAAACCATTTTCTTTTACGCAACTGTGTTATTTTATTTAAGTTTAAAATCCTGTCATGACTTTTGGCAGACCCTGTATATTCAACAGTTACTTTGAAGAACATTACATTTTATCCAGAAGATCAAAAAGCTTTATTTTAATACAATATCACTCCTATCAATGAGAGTTCAACATATTCATAATGAAGAGTTCATTAAGCCTGTCAAAGGTCAAAACTAAAACCTTATATACTAGAGGGAAGTTATAACAGATAATTTGATGGGTCAACAACAGTGACTCCAGAGGCATGGGGCTTCTGAACCTATGCCCAAAGGTTTAAGTAGAATCCTAACTGTTGCATGCCCCAGATCTAGTAGGGCATTGCAGAACTCTGCAAGAGATAAGAAGTAAAATGATACAACACTTACATCTAGGGGAATCAGATGTTGAGGTCAAAGTCACATGCCCTGTTCATTTGATGAATTCAGCTTATCAATGTAAGTGTAACGATATTTACTGGTAGATAAAGGGAATAGGGTCACCATAAGTTCCCATCATCTTTCCTGTTATGTTTCATGTTTCTAACCTTCTTATCTTGGTCCAGATCCATTTCAAATCAGAGTAACAATTACAAAATTAGGCTCCCCAAGACAAGGCTTTACATTGGTACCCATTTCATCAAATTTAGTTTGAAGGCTGTAACTTCAATGTTTTGGCATATTTTTTTACACTTTTCCTTCCGATATGGAACATATTCAAATTCATGAATAAAGAATCAGGCACAAAGACAGAGGAATAAAATGCTGGAAGCATGAGGAACTCAGTTGCACAAGGCAGATAAGGAACTTTTTAGCTGGGAATTTTATTGCTGGAACAGTGCCTAAAAGGAAATAGCATGGAATATTTTGCAGGTATGAATCAAAGTTGGACATGGAGGTGTTGAGAAGTTTTGTCAAAGGGTTATTCCATTATACAGGGTGTCCCAAAAGCCCCTATCTATTTTGCTGAAATAGGCTGAATTTCAAACAAATAGCTCAATGACTTGAATATGCATGTATTTCCATACAAAATACAAGTATTATTACAGATCAAAATAGAAATACACTGCAATAATCTTTAATCAGTAGTTTCAACGTGCGCTCCATCAGTATCTCTGCAAATCTCAAATTGGTCTGCTGCATTGCGGAATACATTTGCGAGCATTTCAGGGTTTATTTTCTGAATGGCCTGCTTAATGCGATCTCGCAAATCTGGTAAATCTCGAATTTTTCTGCGATAAACTTCTGATTTAATGAAACCCCAGGCAAAGAAATCCAATGGGGTCAAATCCAGAGATCGCAGTGCCCGAGGCCTGTTTCCCCCACGTCCAATCCAACGATTTGGAAAACGCCTGTTGAGGAATGCCTGAACAATTCTGGCATAATGACATGGTGCCCCATCATGCTGAAAGACTACAGTGTCGAGAATACCATCTGCAAGAAGTTGGGGTTCTAGAAACTGTTGAAGCATATTGAGGTAAATCGAGAAGAATCGAGGTAATCGAGGCTTACAAAAATTTTCTTGTGAATTTGTCTCTAATCTCACATTTCATTCCTCTGATGCAACAAGTTACGACCATAACACGTTCCTGCACATTCATCATCAATGATATGGATCTGAAATTTAAAAAAAACTAAAAAGTTAAAAATAGTTCAGACAGTAATCTAATGTTTGATATGCATAGAAATGAACATGTAATCACATCACTGAGTGATTTATTTAAAATTCAGCCCATTTCAACAAAACAGATAGGGACTTTTGGGACATCCTGTATAATGTGTCTGTGTCTAAAAAAAAAAAAACCAATTTCCATTATCTATATCATGTAACAGCTGCTGCAATTTTATCGAGTTCCCTGCCTTTTTCCAGGTCTTCAGAAGATATGGAGATATTTCCTGGAGAATCCCCCATTGCTAATGACTTTTTTACTCAAGGAAAAGAACATAAAATGAATCTAATTTTCAACAGGTTCCCACCCTTTAGTGGTGACTTTAGCTTCACAAGCATCGTTAAATGTCAGTTGACAGGTGATGGTGACACAAAACATAGTACTGAGCTGTACACACCTGAGAGCCACCTTGTTCAGTCTCAATGTATCGAGGCATGGGGAAACGGGTCTGGAGGATCTCTTGGGCATCATCAGCTGGAGCCTGGAGTAGCTGACGGAAGTTTTCATACTCTGGCAGCTCATGGTACCCCTGGGCCTTCCATTGTGCTATTGTCTAAAGTGTAAAAAAAACATCAGCAGATGGTAACCTACCATGACTCCATTCTTTTCATTCTTTTCCACTAGTACACAAGAGCTTCTGTTAGGCTTAGAAATCCTACAATGCCCAGCAGAAAAGGAAATTCTTGAAATTATGCAGGCTGTCCTGGAAAAAAGGAAGCCTTATACTTAAATGTAAGTATGAAACACAGCATTGGCAGTTATGAAACAAAAACATTGTTCTGAATGAAATATATCTACTGGGTATGGCAAAAAAAAAACTGCCTTTTAGTCAAACTATCTCTGCTACTTGCTACTCTCATGAAACTTTCACTCTGTACAGAAGAATAAGTTTCCAACATATCTACAAAGTTTACTCCAATTTCATTTCTCCAAGGTAAGGCTATGAGGAATGATTCAAAAGTAGTATAATGAAAATGGACATGAGCTCATGCTGGTGGTGGAATGGAGGACATACTTGAGCTCTAAGGTGCTCTACTACCATATTATCCAAGCTACATTGATCACCTCTCCCATTGAGTTTCAATTTTAAGGCTGGCCTTTTTCTGCAGATAGTTTTGATAAGCTTTTTACCAATTAACGACGAACAAACTCTGCCTTTGGTACTCATTGATTTGTCTGTGGCTTATTCAGATTTTCCATGGGTCTTCATAAAACAAGGCATGAGGAGTTAGAACTCAGGAGGATGAAACACTACCCAAGTCCATTCCCAATTTATGATTTTTTTTTAGCAATTGCTCATGACCTTGCTTTGGCAATTTCAATTTTATTTGTATTAAATTTTAAATTCTGTTGGAAGATACCAAATTATGCATGGTGAAAGTAGCTGGAGTAAGAGCAGAGATATACAGGATGGCCACAAAGTGGAGGATCAGTTTAGTCAACAGGTTGCCCGACACCCCTTTCATTTACATGCTTCACAGATTATGAGTGACCAAAGTTCATACAAACCAAATATGACAGAAAATGATCAAAGTGATCCCCCTCTTCATGGCCACCCTGTAAAAGCTGAAAGTAGTCAGTCTTATTTTTTGCTATACTCTATATATTGCCACATGTTTGTAAGAGGAGATAGGGTTCCAATAAAATGAACAAATTCACTACTTCTCAATTTTCCTTGTTATGCAGCTTTGAGGGTAACCTCCCAGGACTAAATTTTTAATTTCTTATACTACTTCCTCTTCCCTGTAACATCATCAATCTCTTCACTTTCTCCTTGAGTATCAATTTTTTGCACCTAAAAGACTTTTCCTGACTTTAAATGAAAATCATGGCAACTTTCTCTGACATCTCCCTGACTTTTTGACCCCAATTCTATTCCCTGAGTTTTCAAGGTTTCCCACAGCTGTGGCAATCCTAAATGTGTTGAAAGTTACAAACCTCTCCATTAAATATAAGGATTTGGAAGAAGGTGTCCATGAGGAGGATGCGATCAGGCTGGATGGAGGAGGTATCAAGGAGCACTGGCTCTGGAGGCCCATTGAAGCTGTAGCTGTAGAGGATTGGCTGGATCATAATCAGGCTGTTCATTGTGTCTTCCCGCATCAGCATGTGCCTGCACAACCAAAAGCAATGCAAAAACTGGTAAGACTATTGATGCACCTTGGCTTTCCTCCTTCCTTCTATCCTTTCTGCCCCAGCCAATTTCAACATGGTCTGAAATTGTAACTTCTATCAAATCACATTCTGAAATAATCAGCTAAAGGTTCACTCATATGACTATAAATGTAGCTTGGCTAGGGATTTGAAGTCATTCTTAGTGTTTTCATTAACTATCACAGATCATTCTTCCTCAATTAAAAAATAAATCACTTGAATTTTATAGAAAACTAGAGGGATGGAAGCCATGCAAGGCAGCTCACAAGTTCATTGCATTTAACTCTTATCCAGGCAAGGTATTTTTGTGACACAAATGGGCAAGGCCAAACATTTTTAGAAATTTTTCCTTAAAAGCAAATCCAGACTTTAAAAATTAGTTTTTGAAATTATGGATGACTGTCTATGAAACCCATATCAAATTTGAAAAATTTTTTGAAAAAAATTGCAGAGTGTGATGAAATGAAATATACCTTGCCCAGATAAGGGTCAATGTAGTCAAATCTCCCAAGGGAGATTTGACTAGCAAAAGCAATTCACTATAAAATCCTATGAATTTAACAGAAACATGGGAGAATGTAAATGTAAAATAGATTTTTTCTTTTCATATCTTGGCATGAACGACTTTGCACAGCAGAGGTCCAGGCCAGTTTTCAATCATGCCGAAAAACTTCAATTGCATTCAATATACCAGCAATGAGCTATACAAAACCATAACAAAATGGAGATCCTTACTTTCAATCACTGCAAAAAATGCTTTGCCAATAATGCAAGCAATGAATAATGCTGGTTTTTGAACTCTAACCTATAAAATGAGGTTTCATCAGGGCTGTTGTTGAAGACCTGCATGAACTGGGAACGCCTGAGATGGAACATGAATTGTGGGTATAGAGAGAATGCCTCAGATAGACGGAAGCTTGCTGCATCATCCTTGTTGTACTCTCCAAACTTCTGACACTGGGAACAATAACAAGGACATTCATATGATGGAATACATAAAAAAGGTAAGTCATTTTTAAATTCAGCTCCTACAGAGTGCCAGGAAGATTTTATTTATTATTCTAATTATGCAAAGCATAACATACTGATGGGGGTTTTTTAAACCTCCCACTACAGCATATTAAGGGCATCAATGGGTTGAAATTCAAGCAAATATATATATGTGACAAGGGGCCAAGGATGAGAAGGAAAGGAAGGAAGGGGAAAAGAGATAATCAAACAACAAAAGAGTAAATGTCAATTGGAATGTCAACAGGCAAATTTTATGTATTATATGGACCATGGAAGGGAGGCACTCATATACCAATGTTTTTTAAAGTAGATGTTAAAAGGTAGATTGCAAGGGGTCCCAACAGAGGTTTCTTTCAAGACAATGGGGAACCACCAGTTGCATGAATTCCAACCCTGAACCAACTGAATCTGAAACCTCACAAGTGTGTGGATGCTTTTTTGTGCCTTATGCATTAGTGCCTGCGAGGTACCAAGAAACTGACACTGATCAATCAGTAGTAATATGGCAAAATCTACAATGCTCTGAATAGCATTCCATATAGAATGACATGATTCCATGGTCATCTATGGAATTCATACCAGGTGACAGTTTCTTCATCTCCTACGAAATTTTAGGTCTTCACCAATTTACAGAGGGTACTATTTGTCAATTAAAATCTCATCCATTCCTTTCAAATATTGAGCCATTGAGAGGCAATTTGCCCAGCTCAAAGTAAAAAAAAAAGAAAGCAAGGTGAAGAGGTTTCAATATCACACAGATGGGTAAAATGAACACCTATTAGTTGAGGAGTTCAACTATCACCAATTTTGTCATAGCTGGAATGGAGGGTGTAAAAAATATTTGTTCTGCCCAGAAATTCACACATGGGGTGCCATTTCCAGAAGTGACTCTGAGGACATTACCATAAGGGTGACAAGATGTTGCAGTAGCAGCTCAAGTTTAGGAACATGAGAACAAATCCCTTAATGACATAATCTTGTCATTTGTGCAGTGTAGTGAGTCCTGATTTTGTGAGGGAGACAGTATAACTTGAATAAGAAATGCCATATATTATTTTTAGTGCTCTTTTTTTAAATTCTTTCGAAGGATTTCTCTCCAATGGTTGCCAAGGCAGAATGCCTCCCAGGCAGCACATTCCAGGATGGGCCTAATGAATGTTGTCCACATGTCTTCTGAAGGAGCTTGAAAGAATTTCATGGCATATAATATGAACAACCCCTTTGAAGCTTTCCATAGAATCATAAGAATGTGGCTTTTCAAAGTCAGAGAGTTAGAAAGAACCAGGCCTAATATCTTGGTCTCAGGGCACTCTAGGAGAACTTGGCCCTGGATGATTAAGAAAAAGTCAGCTGGAGGGGTCTTTGAGAAGTTGAACTGCACAGTTAGGCACTTGTTGGGATTGAGTTTCATGGAAGTTTTAATGGACCACTCTTGTAGTTCATCAGAGGCATGCTGGAGTGATGGGGTAAAGGATTTAGGGAGAGACACTGCTTTGGTCTTTGTTGTCAACAAATTTTAAAATCATCACACCTTTTTCATGGCCATCCTGGACCATGATGTTGAAAAGAAAGTGAAAAATGGTGTGAAAGGTGAAAAATTATTAACTAATCAACAAAGATGATTAACCTGATTACCATCTCTTATCAATTATAATTCCTAGTACCATTACTTTTGTTATTGGACCTGTCCAAACAATCATTTCACACCAAGAGATCAGGAACATATAGGAATGGGAAACGCACAAGTCGTATAAGGTTGCGATCCACCCAACGGAGGACATCCTGGCCCTCTTCTGATTCAGCACGGAAGGCAGCCAGGCGACCACTAATCACAGCTGCCGCTTCTTGATCAAATCCAGCAGCAATGTGTGACATCTGCGTCCCTGCATCTGCCCAGCTAATGAAAATGAAAAAGGAATGGAACATCTCTAAATCCATTACTACTAAAGAAATGAAGATCTCTGTATAAATAACCAGCAAGGACTAGTTCCGTGCACTCTATTGAAGTTACTTGGACTTCACTTAAACATGAATCAAGATGATTGCATGCTCTTTCCCAACCTCTTTTTCAGAAAGAACCATGGCCAGAGAGGGAACGGCCTCAACTCATGTTTCAAAGAGCCTGGATGAATCAAATCTCTCTTTGCCAATACTAGTGCAGGGAAATGTGATAAAGTTAGGTTAAATTCAAAATCATAAAACCTACATTTCAAACAAGTAATTTTTCACACAGGCATAAAGAGGCATAAACTGAATCCATACCAAACTTCAAATAGGTAGAGAAAGACGTACTTGCGAGCAATGGTTGTGACTCGGACCCGCCGCTGCCCTGAGGAATGCTGATACTGAGTGATGAACTGAATGCAGCCCCTCCCTCCTTGTGGTATTGGAGCACCATGCTGTCAATTCCAGAAGGAGTTTTAGCTTGAGTGATACAATTTCAAGAACAGCAAAATTTACATTTAAATTTCAAGCATTAGGAAACAATGTAACACAATGAGCTTCACAATCAAGGAAACAATGTAGCATAATGAGCTTCACATTCAGCACAATACTGGTCAATAACTAAATGTGAAGTTAGAGTTCATCTTATTTTGTTTCTTTCAATGGCAAACTGGGAAATCAATCTTCCATGTTTCTTAAATAATGAGTACATCAAACAAGACACAAACTTGAAACTAGCATCAAATGAAAGCTCCCTCCCAGCCTTTTTCAATGAGACCTGTATGTTCATATGGCTTGTATCACTGTTGAAATAGCATAGATCTAGATACCAAGATTCCAACTGCTTAAAATTTTCCAAAATAAAAAAATGAGCTCACAGGTACCAAAAAAAAATACTCAAATGTTTAAAACTTTAGAGTAACAGCAGGAACCATATGTTGATAGAAATTAGGGGAAAGCTTTTATACAGTGCTAAAAAAGAGTTTAAAGTTTTCTCCAAGTTTTCATCCTTTTGGAAACAGAAAATGTTAACTTTTGCTGGTAAAATGTTTGCACTTCAAATTCAAAATTTCATTGTTTGAACCAAGTAATGTGCTGAAATCTATCTTCGTACAAGGCCACAAACTATTATTGGAATTTTCCAAAAGCTCATTGTGTTACCATGTCATGATACTGTTAAATAACGCTGATGCAAATTGTGATCATTTTAAATGTTTGAAATTTACCTCTTCATTTGCAACACAAATACTGAAACATGCATCGAACAAATCTTCAGCTATACCTCAGTTTTAACTAAAGCCCAAAACATCTTCCTTACTAAATCAGGGTCAAAGATATACTTCTGTCACATAGGGTCATTTTTCCAGCTTGGGCTAAGCTTTGAAGCAGCATATCTTGATATCTGTCTAAGTTAAGAGTGCTAAAATTTCACATTTTCCATTATTCATGAAATGGAAGCCACAAAACATGAAAATTTTCCAAGAAAATTTCTGCAAGGTGTGACAAGCACTCAAACATTTGAGCTGGAATGCCTCAGGATTGAAGATGGAACATTAAAAAAACACTGCCAGTCACTTATGACTCAATTGAGTTACTACGTCCATGAATTAGTCTCCAATAAATTCATAAACATTGAAAAGATTTCCCACTGATTCACTTATAAGGTAAGACTTCTGAGGTACTCAAGTCACAAGGGCATAGACACACACTTCTGTAATTACCATATTACCCTACTGGTACTGCTCTCTCTATAACAAGTAATACACAGATAATTTACTCTGTTGAAGCAAATGAATGCTTTCAAGGAAACAGAACTTGGAAGAGTGATCAAGAAAGAACTTCTTGTTGAAAGGGTTTAGTATTGATTGGTTGTTGAAGGAAGGAATGTACCTGGTTGACAACTTCATAGAGGATGGCAATGGTGGAACTAGGATAGAGAGAGCAGAGTTTCCACTGACATGTTCCACCAATCCCCATCTCATTGTCTGAGACACATGTCCCCTTAATGTTCATGCTGATACATGGCCCAATGGCTCCACACACTGCCAATAAGGAAATCAAGCGTTAGGAGGAAAATTAAATTTGAAATCAAAGCCATTGACTTTTGGGTTTGTCCATGCCAAGTGGTCCAAAGATTTTGAGCAAGAAATTTCTTTAAATTTGTGAATATAACATTCTATACACAAGCCAATCATCTCTTTTCTCTGAAGGCATGAATGAATATTTAAAAAATGAAAGAATATCATTTTTATTATAGATTACTTTTACCAATTTCATGATATTCGTGGATATGATAGAAATGCAAATCTGGAGAATGAATAGGACTACTGGAACAGATGTCAGCATGGTTCTCCCATGCATAGTGATAATTTCAAATTAGCTCAGGTGTGAAGAGGTGTCAATTGTTCACATTTGAATTATATTTTAAAAAGAACATTGAAAGACTTCTAGTTTTCAATTAATTTTCCGAACATCACATGTTCACAAAATAGCCTTGCTTTCTTTTCTGAGTTCTGTTATCATGGGGTGAATTACACTAATTTCAAGTTTTTATTTGATCTATAGAATAAACAATATTAAATTGATAGGTACTGCTATATGACAGCAACATGACCCATTGGAGCATGTTACTTCAACCTAAGGTTTCATTAAATGTCACATTTGACACTTTTCTTCACATACAGATCCACCTCTAGCAAGAGTATGCAAGACTTTGGCTAATGGAATTTTCAGTCACTGCCTAAGGCTAGTTGTTGCAGGCTTCATATGGTGATTTGACATTTATAATATAGTTAACATATTACTCCAGATGTCATGTTCAACATTTTAGAAAGGTCCTTTTCCAATTTTCAAGCTCTCCTTCTGGTACACAATCCCAACAGATTAGTGAAATTTAACTCTTAAAGGGCTGAATGCTTTTCCATGAAATTGCACCCTCTTAGGGAATACTTTTTAGGAATATTCAACATGAAAAAATCAATGAAACAGAACAACAATTACAGAGTTTACTGAACTCCTGTATTATGGATACTACCTCACATCCAGAGGAAATTTCAAGGTGTGTATATGCAGCCATAGCACCAGGAGAAGCAAAATGGCTGAATGCATACATGCAACAAAAGCATTTTAAGGGTTAACAATAATTCATTTTGTCATATGTGTAATCAAATTTTAAATGTAAAAAATTGAAAATGCATGTCAGCTCAGGCTGGGAGTCAAGTGGATAAAACACTTTTCAGCTGGTCTATTTTTTAAATATTGTTTAGTTAATTAATTCAAATTAATGACTGATGACTCAAAAGATATCAATAATGACAATTTGCTGTTTCTTCAGATTTTCCTTTACTTACTTCATGCAAAGGAAAGTCACTCTGAAGAGACTGTAAAGCAACCATAAATTTTCAAAATCCAAATTCTGTTCGTTACTCACGGTGTGACTTCAACTGAACAACTTTGGATGAAATTTCACAAGCATGTCAACCTATGGAAAATGCATGTTAAATTAAAAAAAATACTTCCAGGAATAGAAAAGCAAGGTAGGCACAAAGCTAGCAGGCTTTCTCAGCCATATCAAAAGTTGAAGCAGATTTGTAACACCTTTCTGAGTTTTGACACCATTTCCATTTCTCTGACTTATAGAAATTTCAAATCTGTGAGCAAGTTAAAATTAGTGCAAATAAACCACAGAATTGGTTCTCTCAAGGCAAGATACTCAGACTGACCTTTCAATTCCCTTGATGTCTTCACCTCAATCTGTGCATTGAAGGCCATCTTGAACTCATTGTTCTGATCCTTGGCAAACACCATGCGATATGTCTGCTTGAAGAGGGAGGAGTTGAAGGAATCTCCCATCACCATGTGTCCCCTAATTAGAAAGCCAGCAACCTCCATGAAAACTACAATACTCCATTGTGAGTTTAAGTTTGCTTCTTTGATGATTTTGCTAAGAATCTGTTAACCATTCGTTTGGATCCTGGCCCACAAGGGGTGAATACCTACTGTCAAGAATCCAGCACCCAGCAGAGAGCTGGTCAAGGCATACAGCCATAAATGAATAAAAGGAAAGTCCTATCTGCTCCTGTCAGGTTCACCGAATATGCAGATATCTATGTACAGCATGAGTGTTCAACCTGTGGAAAGTGAACTTTCATTTTCTGAATTGTAGATCCTCCCTGGTTCAAATTTTTTGTCTTTTTTCCCTGTCTTCCCAGAGGCAGGAATATTCTAATAGGGTAGTATCCAGGAGCAGGGGTTCCAACCTTCTCCCCCCCCCCCCCTCCTCCTTTGAGATCCCCCTCATTTTATTGGTGTTGCTACACCCTCATTAAAAAATCTCATGGTTAATCTTCCCCATTGGCCCATACTGTTAATAAATATTTATCTGATGGTGATAGCTAGTTCTTGTGTTAAAATTTTACTTCCAAGCTGCCATACCTCCAGGATATGATGGCAAAGACAGTGCAGGAAAGTATAAACTACACAAAGTAGAATCAGGCACACATGAAATATTACATCATACAAATTTACATTAGAGATATTCTATAAATAAAATTGTTGAATTTTGCCAAACCTATGACAAAATATTTTTAGATAGAATTTAAAAACATTTTTGCCAGTGTAAAAAGTAGAACAAAAGTTTAAAGACCATGAGAATGAAAGAATCATAATACTAGCACAAATGAATTACCTCTTGTTTCCATCAGAAATGGCAAAAGAAGGATTCCGGCAGAAATGTAGGCATACCCAGTGGAGTTGGGACAAGACTTCATCTCATGGAGTCCAGTTTGATCCAGGGCACAGGAGTAAATATCAACAACATGCCCATTTGTTGCAGCTCTCCCAGCTAGGGATTCATAGTGCTTTGTAGCCTTCTTCAGGTACTTGGCGTTGTCCTTATCGATGTCATGATGAGATCGGATGGGGTCCTTAAGGTCATCATTCACTACCATCCCAGGTCCCTGACTGCAAGCTCCTCCCACAAAGAGCATGATCCTCCCTCCAGCATTTGGGTATGTACTCTGTCACCCAAAAATGCCTATCACTTTTTGCACTGACACGCCAAAATATTATAAAAGTGAGTGTTACATCAAAGCATATTCCTTGGTTCTCAAAAGTTTCAATCAATATCTCTGACATCAAGGGTTATGAGGTGAGCGAGAAATCCTGTATTCACAAGAAAAATGAGATCCTCTAATTGTGCAGGAAGCCCAGATTGGGGCTGATAGAGAAGACCTCTTCCAGAAAAATCCCATTCCTTTAAAGCTGAAATTGGATTGAATGAAAGAAATGTATTTGCAATCTGTTTGGTGATAAATGACAAGAGATGAATGCTTGATAGACTTAGATGCAATAACTAACTGAGCATTAATAATAAAATAGTTATAAGCAAGTTTTAAGGGAATGTCAACAATGGAATGAAAAGCTCATACTATCCCATTCAAACCCTTTTAAATAGATGTGATTGCACCTGAATGGAGCATTTGGTCCTATAATGATTCTGGAATTTGTTCAAAAGATCCAGAAGAGGATCTTCATCTGCCCAAGTAAAATAACCTTGAAATGTTCAAAATCTCCAAGGTAATATATATACGTGGGGCATTCAAAAAGTCTTGGAAGTGAGCATGTACGAAAGGAGTGGTTTGCATCTGGGTTGATTTGTTGATAGTGGCATATACAAGTGACATTGACTGTTGTCTAGAAATAATAACAGTATCTGTATCTATATTGTAGGCTGTGTACTAGTTCAGCAAAAAAGTGTCCATTTTGACTGTGACCTAGAAATATGGAATTCAACAAAGAGAGTGAACGATTCTATGTTTTCACCCGGATGAAACTCGGAGATAGTGCAAGCCAGATTCATGCTGATCTACAGCTTGTGCATGGGGACAAATGTTCTTCATTCAACACAGTTGCCCGATGGATACGTGAATTTGGTAGTGGTAGAGACACTCTGCAAGACCAGCCACGTGAAGGACGCCCAAAATCAGTCGTGAACGAGAAAAACACAGATCGTGTCAGAGGCATTTTGCAGGCTAACCCAAGTGTAACCATTGAAACATTAGTGGACACATGGGGACAAATGTTCTTCATTCAACACAGTTGCCCGATGGATACGTGAATTTGGTAGTGGTAGAGACACTCTGCAAGACCAGCCACGTGAAGGACGCCCAAAATCAGTCGTGAACGAGAAAAACAGATCGTGTCAGAGGCACTTTGCAGGCTAACCCAATTGTAACCATTGAAACATTAGTGGACTAAGTGCTGGCTCAACTTCAAACATTTCACACAATGAGCTGAATGTTAGAAAGACTTGTGCGAAGTGGGTCCCACACCAGCTGACTGCAGAACTGAAAGCAAAACGAGTGCTGTTTTCACGTGAAAACTTGGAACTGTTCGGTCCTAATGGTTCAAAACGTTTGACTGATATTGCTACAGGTGATGAGAGCTGGTTCTACTACTACACAGTGCCTAACAAGACAGACAACATGGTGTGGCTGTCTGAAAACGAGCCCCGGCCAAAGATTCTGCGACAGGATTTCCGGTCAAAGAAACGCCTGTTCACCGTGTTTCTTGACTATGAAAGCCCTCTGTTGGTGAATGTTCTACCTGAGAAGTAGACAATGACTGGTAATTACTACAAGAATAATATCCTTCCTGAACTCTGCAAATCAATCACCAAAAAGAAACCCACAGTTGGCACATCCCGCACACAGCTTATTGGACAATACATCAAGGCACAAGACGGTTGCCGTACAACAGTACCTGGAGGAGCAGAAAATCCGTGTCATTGCCCATCCACCCTACTCTCCTGACCTGACACACTGTGATTTCTGGCTTTTTTCTAGGATCAAAAGGGAGTTGGCTGGAAAGCCATTTTCTCGCGTGCAAGATCTCTCCAGAGCTCTCAATTCACAGTTGGCAAGTATACCTCAGGAAGAGTACCGTGGAGCATTTGACACGTGGCAGCTGCCGGTGACTATTTCGAATAACTAAAGACAAAAAAAAATAGTTTCATTCATAATTTCCTATATTGCAGGGTAACTTCCAAGACTTCTTAAACGCCCCACGTACTGCAGCACCACTGGCTTGGAGAGAGGCCTGGCAGGGGAATCGTTGCAGAAGGTGTGATTCTAACAGCAAATGAGCTCCAAGATTTTGCCAAGTGGGGCCTGGCAAAAAAAAGAATGCTCCCTCACTGAATAGGTCTTACGGCAGCGATTTCCGCAGCTGGAAATGTATCCATCGACGTATGCCCTGTCCTTGGTGAGTCTCCAGATGATTGATTGCACGACAGGAACACCGACGATGCGACTTAGCCTCTCCTCCAAGAAGTTGGCTTTCTTATCGGAACTCTGATTGCAAAGCTCCCCCATACTAGTGATAACCAAGAGAGGGTGGGGATCTAGTCCGAATTGCCGAAGAACCATGGTTGGAGAGAGAGAGAGATGGAAAGAAACTGTAGAAGGCTGGCCGTGGACAATATGACGGGCAAATTTCCTATCACGTTGAAAAGTTCTACGCCCTCATAAAAGGACAGGTTCATGGCATGCCGAGGGGCGGAGGGAAACAAGGGCGTGGCAAATCTATGGTCATTTCCTTCTCTTGGACCATGGAGCATTGGGCTCGTCTCTTAGGCGGCAATTGCCTTTCTGCTCTAGGGATTGCGCTAAACTCCACCTTTCATCCAGTCTATTGGGAACTAGGACCTGTTGGGAACCACCCGGAAATGAAAATTGGAGGATCGGCTTGGTGAGTTAGTTTTCGGTTTATGAAAACGCGAAGAAGCTCTTAGGGACGGTCAGTATGAGACTTGGAAATCGACTTCAATCACCTCACGCTCTAACGATTCCACATTCTATTTAAAGCTATTTGCAACACTTCGGCCAAGTCAGCAACCTCTTTGACTGAGGTGGCAAATCCCCATAGAGTTTTGAAAAGAGATCCTTTTCAATAAGGTCTCATTTTTCGTGGAGGAAAATTCAGGAGGCATTTGTACGTTTGCCTACTATGTGGGAAATATATCATTGGGCTCCTGTCACCACGCGCTTTGCAGAATCAAGCCAAGCAAAAAATTGGATGTCGGCATCAACATAATTAAAAAGCCACTCATTCGCATTTAAGAGACCTCGAAAACCACTCAAGGCATTTAAGAAACCTCTCAAGGTCCCGTTCCGAGCCACAAAAGTCGACGCAATAGATTTTCTAATGGTCAAGACTCTACCAGACTAATACTGATTGTCCGAAGTATGCCGTGGCACAAATAACACCCCATCAAAGTTAAACATGGGGACACATGATGGAAAAGAGCCTAGACAAGAAAGAATGAATAAGCTAAAGGAACAGGTATTCTTTATATCAGTGTGTTCCAGAAACGTTGAAGTAATAGATCACGAAATAAGTGCAACAGAAACACGTATCGATGCCCAAACTACGTAATTGGCATTGCAATTGGTGTTAATACCTATCCAAAATGGTTACCTTGTTTTAGA